ATTTCGCTTGCCCTGCCGCAGGTCCTGCAGTTCAACACCAACTGCCCCGAGTGCAACGCCCCGGCCAGCACCAACATGAAGGTGGTGCGTATCCTTTGAGGGGGTGGGTGTGCATGGGGGTCCCTGTGCTGACCCTGGGCTGTTCATGCTGCACCTGGGTGGATTCTCCAGGGTGCAGAGCTGTCCCAGGCCGCTCACAGCGAGCTCCTGCAGTGCCTCGGGAGGGACCGGGGTGCTGCCTTGGGGTTTTCCTTGACTGTCCGCTCCAGAAATCCCACACTTCAAGGAAGTGATTATCATGGCCACAAACTGCGACTCCTGTGGGCACAGGACGAATGAGGTGAGCTGGATAAACCCTCTTAAAGCATCGAGGTGTGATTTGAGTGTGAATTCCAGGGAGCTGACTGCCAGCTGTTCCTAGGTGAAGTCTGGAGGAGCAATTGAACCACAAGGCACCAGGATTACCCTCCGGATTACGGACCCTTCCGACATGACAAGGGACATCCTGAAGGTACAGTGCCCTTGGATACCTGCCCTGTCCTCCTGTGGAGGCTGTGGGGTGTCCAGAGGGGCCATCCTTGCTGGGGACTCACAGGGTGTTTACCTTCCCAGTCTGAGACGTGCAGTGTGGAGATCCCAGAGCTGGAGTTTGAGCTGGGCATGGGAGCGCTGGGGGGGAAGTTCACCACACTGGAGGGGCTGCTGAAGGACATCCGTGACCTGGTGAGTGTGCTGTGCCAGCCTGGTGGGGTTCAGCCCCCTCTGGGCCCCTGTTTGGACTGGCCCTGGTTCTGGCTGCCTCACAGGTGCTCCCCTGCCCTTGCAGGTGGAGAGGAACCCCTTCACTCTGGGGGACAGCTCCACGCCCAGCAGGACGGGGAAGCTGCAGGAGTTCATTGGGAAGCTGCAGGAGGTGAGTGTGCTCTGGATTCCCATCCTCTGCCAGAAGTGCTGAAGGGTTAGGAGGAGCCTTGATGGCTGGATCTACTCTTTTCCTGCAGATCATAGATGGGAAGACCAAGGCTCACTTCATCATGGATGACCCTGCAGGCAACAGCTACCTCCAGGTACAGCCCTGGGCCCTGGGGAGGGCTCTCTGCACTCTCCTGGGGGTGTTGGGGGCAGGATGCCCCAGCCTTGGGAAAGAGGGCAGTGCAGGAGACTTCCCCTCTCCCCACAGAACGTGTACGCCCCGGAGGAGGACCCGGAGCTGAGGGTGGAGCGCTACGAGCGCACGTTCGAGCAGAACGAGGACCTGGGGCTGAACGACATGAAGACGGAGGGCTACGAGCCTGAGGGTGCCTCAGGCCGGTAGCAGGGGGTGCAGCCCGACCCTCCAGACCCTTCCCCAACCGCTCCAGGGACAAGGACTTGTCTGGGGCCAGGACTTTTCTCCCCTTCCTGGGAGTCGGGAGCTGCTCCAGGCCGAAGGCAGCGGGGCTGGGCCTCGGAGCCTCCCTGCGGGAGGTGTTATGCTGATGTGTTGGGGCGGGGGGATGGGGGGACTGGAAATCGGGGCCGCGACCCCCAAATAAAGGTGTTTGGATAAAAATTTATGGACG